GTTTTATTTTTTCGTTGCTAGTAACTTTCATGATTTGCGGATTTTAAGGTATCGTAAAGACAAATTTGGCGGAAATCACTGACTGTCGAAGGCCCCAAGTGAAATGTTCACTGCTTAGAAAATTTCACAATTTTCACTGACTCAGGAAATTACAGCAATTTACAGTAAGCTGTCAACTACTTTAATTTCAGAAGTGACATATTTATGGAAATTTTGTGAGTTACAATTTCACAATGGCCATTAAGATAGAGAGCATGGTGAACCTTGCTGTCATGAAATAATGGAAATGGTTAGGAAACAATTCTGCTTGCGTAGTGGTTAGCGCATCAAATTAAAGATTGGTAGATCCAAGTTTAAATCCTACCAGGGTTGTACACCAAAAATAGATCAACCTCTACCCTGGGTGAGAGTGCCGTGGACTCAATTTGAAGGCTATTTTCACTGGCCGAAATTCATTCACTATGAATCCGAATTTGGGGGAACCTTGGTTAATGTCAGCATGCCCTTGTGTTCAACATTTTTAGCACTGAAAATTCAACTATATGTTATTTTACAGGAAATGAATCATGATTTTAGTTATGTAATTATTAGAACATACTAGTTATGTAATTATTAGAACATACTAGTTATGTAATTATTAGAACATACTAGTTATGTAATTATTAGAACATACTAGTTATGTAATTATTAGAACATACTAGTTATGTAATTATTAGAACATACTAGTTATGTAATTATTAGAACATACTAGTTATGTAATTATTAGAACATACTAGTTATGTAATTATTAGAACATACTAGTTATGTAATTATTAGAACATACTAGTTATGTAATTATTAGAACATACTAGTTATGTAATTATTAGAACATACTAGTTATGTAATTATTAGAACATACTAGTTATGTAATTATTAGAACATACTAGTTATGTAATTATTAGAACATACTAGTTATGTAATTATTAGAACATACATTTTTTAGCAGATTTGATGATGTAAAGTTATTCACAGGGTTTCAACTGGTTTGGGAAAATGTTTAACTTTGCATATTAATTAGATTTTAATTTTATCCTAATTTACAATGTAGCTCTCTGTGAAGTAAGAATATGTATTTTTTTAATGTCACACGTTTCAATGCTAAACGTAAAATAGACAGACGTGTGATGCGTACAGGGTATATTTGAAATATATCACAATTAGGAAAGTCTAGAGAAACATCAAGATTATAATTACCAAATGTTATTATTATATATATTCATGATTATAATCTGCCAGTTTTGGCTGAAAAAAAAATCAGAATTTTAGCAGAAATGTTTTTTGCCATTAACACAACAACAATAAATTACCAGAGAATAATTTACACATTTTATAGAGGTATATCTGGAGGGAAATGAAATGAAGAAACTGCTAAGAGAAGAAGAAGGCATTGAAAGCCAATTACACCACTACTTAGTAGCCAGTTTTGAAACCAGCTAAAATAGAAAACCAAAACATCCTTATCATCAAAGATTAAAGAAGAATAGCATTGGCTTCCTTTGAGTGAGCACCATCATTTTCTCGTCAACGTTTTGAAGTATTTTTTTATAACTTTGTAAATTTGTACCGAATAGACACATTTCTGGTGATCGCCCGACACTGCAAACGATACATATAAATTTGTGTATAGCTCTAAGCATACCATAACAGAGTTACAACTGAAACCCCTACTGAACTATTAAGCTAAAAAGGTTATTTATTATACATGATACAAACCAGTACTGACAGAAAAACAGTATAGACATTGCTTTAATTTATTAATGCGTAATTGGTTTTAATAATACTCTGTGGGCAGCTATGCAGAGAAATATCGTCAAAAACACACATTACCAGTCCCCTAGTACAACTATATGTGTGTACAAATATTAAATGATATAATAAATTCTCCCATTAAATACAATATGGTAGGTAACTATGGCAACAATTCAGTACCATAATTTTCCCTACTGACATTTTGCTGCAACATTCTGCCTGTTTTTATTTATTTTTCTATAATTTCTTTTGTTACTTTTGAATCAAATGAACATAGTTTTCTATTATTAAAAAAATTTGGCTTTTATTTCATTAAAAAAGACAAAAGTCAAATTTGCCACTAAAAAGACTGACCTTTTTCCTCTTGACGAAATATACAACTCCTGCTTCGTACATATAAATTTAATAGTACCACAATTTATTATTTTTTTCCGGTTTTCAATTCTCTCTCCGAGTCAATTTAACTACATATATGAATTATACATAATGTGAATACCTGGGGAATTGATACGTGCATGGTAAGAAGGGATAACATCATTGAGTCTAACTGCCGAAAACAAATGCACACAAATGTCTAACCCGCACAATTTTGATTGAAATATACGACACAGTTAAAGAGGGGTCATGACAAACATTGCCAATTTGTATTTTATGAATTATAAAAAACAAAAATTAAAAATCAACTGTACCAATATACAATGACTGATCACATATATATATATATATAGTTGTACCTACCATCCTCACTACTTTATTTGTAATTGCTAGCAACACACATGGTGCCGATGGAAACACAAGGCACAGCATAGATTTCAACATATTGTGTGGAAAAAGCTATAGCAGAATATATACTGCTTGATGAAGGGTGTAAATTGAACTATGCAATCGTTGAGAAAGTAGCACAGCGATTATTTCATGCTTATTCATTAGTTGAGATGATCAGTATTCACGAACAACCGATGCCGCAACAACTCTCAAATAAACGATATCTGCAAAGTATCCAATGGCGACGAGGGAAGTATCAACGTCCTTTGCCGAGTTCTTCATGCACGGGATATAACGGAAATGAAATATTACACAAGTTGTTGAGTCATAAAGAGTAGTCGTTGATCCAATACAAATACAACATGTACCAATCATTGGGGTATCCTGTATCATCAATGGATCACACACAGTAGGAGTGAATGTAGGCAGCAACGAGTGATACAAATACCTGTCTTCCGCTAAAAATACAGGAGACTACCCCTGAGAGCCCCCACAATAGTATGATTAGCATGCAAACACAACAACTTGTTCCTGAGTGGATCCTCGGTCAAAAACTCAAGTCAAACTGGAGTCGCAACACATCCATACACAGGTTATTGTGCACACATTCACAAATAACGAGATTGCGCTTGCATAACAAGGTTTGTAGTAATTGCGGATATTCCATCTAACAAGTTAACTCCCACTGGGTGATACGAACAATGTTATCACATAATATATACGTTCTCTCATCACATTGCCTGGGCGCCGTTCACTTTACCTATCTAACATTCATGACACAGAGCGCCACACATTAAACACATAATTAATTTTAGATAACAGCCACATCAATCAGGCTTGTATATTTCTTAATTAATATGCGTGACAGAACACGATTAATAGTGATTATGGTCGTTGCTACGCCAGAACGATAGATACAAATCTTTTTTCCTCCTGATCGCCTTTGCATTGGAAGAAGTGAATAATTTTTGTGTAATTCCTTTGCATTGGAAGAAGTGAATAATTTAATTCCATAACAACAAGGACACTGAATTTCAATTAAGTCAGTGACCTGTAATTCATTTTTCATCAGTATTCAATACTCATTATACAACTCCCTCTCTCGCTGTCACCTCCTGGTGAATAATGACTTTTCACATGTACATTTTGTATACTGTATATAATGACGTTAATATGTATTAAAATGAAATGTCAGAGAATTGAATGATTCCCTTCAAAGATGTAATACAGTTTCGCAGTATCGGTGAAATATGTCAATTTTATGCAATTTATATGAATGATTAATCTTTTCACCACCAGCCCGCCCTTCTTGCCAAAATTTTTCTGGACTTTTTTTCTTATATTCTTCAATATTTCTGGAAAGGAACCCAATTTTGGAGTCAACAGACAAAATTTGAGTCAATTTTCAGTTTTTACTCCAAGAAATTTGACTATTTTTGTCAGAATCTTGTGAGGGAAAGTGCAGACTAAAAACAGAATTATTTTGTGAATTTGTGATAAAAAGAGGGAATTGGTGGTGAAAAGGTTAATAACTGAATTTGTGAATGAAATACATATTCTGGAAGAATGTAACCATTTAGTAAGCTTATATATTAAATAAAGAATCTTGTAACTAAAAAGACTGCGTTAATTGATTTCATCTAAGCCACTTTTTTTAATCTTATCTGGAAACAGAAACCATGGCAACACTAATGTATGTCACAGATAAAAGAACATTGTTTTGTGATTATAACTTAACCTGTTCCATAGTGCACATACAGAATGATGGTTTATGAACAGACTATTAAACAATATCTAACATTATGTGAGAAAACATTCTGAGTACTACAACAACACTATATACATATACTTAGTGATAACATCACATGAACACCTACACCTATACCCAACAAAAAAAAAGCACAATATTAATGTGAGTTAGACACACCCACCTTTGGTGTGCTACTGTTTCGATGTGATGAGTGTTCTTTCTGTTCTAATATTGTAGGTGTCCACCTCTTCTCATTATCATCATCGTTATATCTCTCTTCCGGTGATATTGGCGACACAGACCGTAAAGCTGGTTCACTACCGTGCCGCACATGTAATTTATTATCTATAAATAACAAAGAATGTACAAATTTAACAATTGTATCAACTATTCTAAATATAGGTGTTAAGATGGCTTCTGTGGTCCAATTATTTTATGCCAGGCTTTCACATTTTGGTATCTTTTTTTACTGATTTTGATGTTAATGTTTGTAAAAAATGAAATTTGACCTCACTGCCATCTTTTTGTGAAAAGCCATGAACAGATTTAGACCACGATTAGGAATAGAGAAAAAGCAGAAATAGAAATGAAATGAAATGTAAATTGATTCACTCGGGATTGACAGAGAAAGGAACGAGTTAATATATCAATTCGTAAGTGAGTGAAGACTGTAAACGAGAATAACCTAGTGAAATGTAATCAGACATATCGCCATTAACAGAATATTAGATGTCAAGAGACATCTGTTGGTTGCAGTTGAAGCCACAATGCATTAGTTTCAATGTATAAGAGGTTTCATGTGATGTGTTTTCTGATGTAACAATATTATCACTGTATCGCTGTACCAGATAAAACTACAGAGACTGTCAAGTCTTGTTCACATATGCTGACAAAAGTAGGGTTAGATCGTTTTTGTAAATATATTCCTTATCAGTGGGCTAAACCTGCGTTCAGTTGGTTCATATCAGTGTCTTATATTTAGTTCAGCATTCATGTCAATTCACCTACCATTGAGTCACTGTATCAATACATTTCCTGCTGATTTTATTCATAGCGACTTTCAGTAGACGATATGATAACCCAAAACCTTGTTCACATGTATCTTATCTAAGAGTTAAACATGAAATCTCTGGGATGGGAGGGGGCGAGGGTATCAGGACAGCTCTCTTACTCGCCTGGGTTAAACTTAGCCCTGAATTCACAAACACAACATAACACATACACAGGCAGATTGTATTATAAGAGTCTTTGCTATTTTTATTTATTTTAAGTCTCATTTTCACTCATGCATTAGATACATCAACAAACAAGTTGAAATTCAAAGGCATCACAAATACCATTGTCAATTGACCCAGCTGACCTTCAATACACAAATGATGTATTCAGATAATTTCTTCACAATTTCCATTATTTCCACAATTGTGTTCCCACAGACAGCACCCTGAACCTTATATCATTGCAAACTTACTGTAAATCTATCATATGCATGACCTCTAAAGGGCCACATCCTGGCACTTATGCATGACCTCTAAAGGTCACACATCCTGGCACTTATGAATGACCTCTAAAGGTCACACATCCTGACACTTATGCATGACCTCTAAAGGTCACACATCCTGACACTTATGCATGACCTCTGAAGGTCGCACATCCTGCCACTTATGCATGACCTCTGAAGGTCACACATCCTGACACCTATGCATGACCTCTAAAGGTCACACATCCTGACACTTGTGCATGACCTCTAGAGGTCACACATCCTGACACTTGTACATGACCTCTAAAGGGCACACATCCTGGCACTTATGCATGACCTCCAAAGGTCACACATCTGGACAGTTGTGCATGACCTCTAAAGGTCACACATCCTGGCATTTTCTAGAAATATTGTTGTTCTATAACATACCTCAATTTTGTCTATGTTAAAGTTCAACTGCTAACAATTTTTTTAGAAATTCATGTGATATAAGTACCAGAATGTGTAAACTTTGGGAGGGGGGGTCATGCACATAAGGTGTACAAGAAAATTAGTAAAATTTTTACACCGTTTTGACCTTCAACACTTTGAATGCCAAAAAAAACTTTTGGCTGTACAATTTTTTTACTTTTTCTCTCAAAATTTTTATCAAGACTAGTAAGAAATAGAAAATTAAGTACATCTTGTCCAAAATTAACAAATGTGCGAAACAAATGTGCACATTCAAAGTGGTAATAGGCAAAATAGTATGAATAATAACTGGGTAATTCTTCAAATAATATGATGATTAACCACTATTAATAATTATGTATCTACACTCGATGTGATTCTATATTAGTGATTGAGAGTACACTGATGTATTCCACAATGGATGGATGACACAGTATTTACCAGCACATGTATTATATATGCAAATGAGATTCTGTATTAAATGTCATCAAATTAATGTATGATAAATATGAATTATCGATTGAATTATTTTGATATCTGATGAAAATTCGAAATATTTATATGACATTATGTGCCCTATTTGTCAGATTTGTACGAATCATTTAAATAACAAACATTTGCAAATGCAAATCAAGAAAATTACTTAATGGAGTGTTTTTGCATGCCGTGTGCTCATGATGGTCATACACTGAAATACAAAATTTATGACGCCTAACCATGTTGTTTATTTTGTTGCAAGCTTTGACATTTCAGCATATTATAATTAAAGTAAAGGTCTCTGTGCTGCCCATTATTGGACGGAGACGTTCGCTTGAATAACAGGCTCGACTGCATCTCGCCCATTCTTGAGTACAACCCGTCTATGCTCTGTAATCAAGCAATAACGAGTGGTGCATTGTCCTCTATTTCCTAACTTGAGTGAGTGCATGCTTCTGGTATTAATACGGTGTACAGGTGTATTCCAGTATGCTGGTGAACACAGTAAAATATTCCTAAAACAGCTAGGCTAAATTTAAATTAAGAGAATGTCTTCTGCAAGTGAAGGCAAAGCATCAAAGAAGGAATTGTAATAACAATTACTTCTCTACAAGTACGTCTAATAAAGTCATCAAACATGGATACTCAAAGGATTACGAAAATTTATGATGCTGCCTGTGAAATTGAAAGTGTTAAAACCACTGAGATAAGATTACCTAATTTGTCATCCAAGTCATGCACATGTCTGCTAAACAAGGTACTGTGAGGATAATTAAGTGTAGTAAACATGTAACAAGGTACTGTGAGGCTAATAAATAGTAAACATGTAACAAGGTACTTTGAGGCTAATAAAGTGTAGTATACAAATGTAACAAGGTACTGAGAGGCTAATAAATTAGTGAATATGTATTGTAAAATACTTTGTTTTCACTGAAGGGACAATTCAATGAAGATAAAATCCTGTGAATATACCTTTTTTACTATATTTTACATTCAACTCATCAACAATCAGTAAAAATAAACTTTTTAGGGAAAATTAATATAAAGTAAATAAAGTATTTTACAGTAAACAAGTGACTATGAGGCTAATAAAGTATAATATATATGTGACCAGATACTGTACAATGCCAATAAAATACTTAAATGTACATATAACATGTTTCGACTACCGGTATATGAAAATGAGCTTGCAATCTCTAAGATACCATCACACACATAAGTTTGAAATATAACCCTCACACATTTTGTTTCTCTCGATTTTACATACCGGTTAATACATAGAATGAGAAAATATTTTGTTTACTGTTTTTTGAGAATGTTGGAATGATAGCTTTGATGTAGCATTTGAAAGCATTACTTAATTAATGTTAAACAGTAAACTTATATCTTGTTGGTATGGAATAAAATAAAAAATAAAGCAGTAAGACCACATCATTTGGCATGTAGAAGATTGAGAAACCATCATATGAATGACCGTGCGCATGAGTAACCCAGATAGGTGCAGTAATCACATCTGATACTGTAAATACTTTATTTAGCTAGAATTAATTTCGCTGAAAAAACATTTTTGGTACTTTGTATGGAATTTATTTT